ATCTATGTGGAAGAAACATATAGCTATATTTATCTATATATATATGATATGTATAAAAGGAAGAAACATTTCTTAGAAGAGATTTGAAGAGGGAAATCCCATATATTCGCATGACGTGAGACTCAGATCTCCAATCACCGAGGGCTCATGACTCCTTGCGCTCCTTGCGGTGGAGCATGGTCAACAATAGGTCTCGAGCCCCGGCCTGGAGCTGAGATGTGGAGTTGATGAATTGATTCCCAATGGATTGGTAAACATACACAAAACTAATGGTTTAATGGGATTTAATGGGATTTAATGGGATTTAATGGGATTTAATAGGATTTACCCTCTGGTAAACATACAAAAAACTATGGGAAAATCCACCATTCTTAATGGGTAAATCGACTATTTCTATATGGCCATTTTCAATAGCTTTTTGTATGTTTACCAGAGGGTAAGGAAAAACTTGAACCGGAAGGCCCCATGATCTTCATGGGAAAATTGGATTGGTTTCCGGTGAAGATTTTACTAAACCAATCCATTGACCCATGGTGTTTTTTCCTTGTTTAGTCAATAGAGATGACATATTGACTATGGGGATTTTACAGTGGATTTCTTGGGGATGTAAGAGATTTCTGTTCCAAACAACCGTTATGATTTGGGCGTGGATGGAAAATGGTGTTCTACTTCAAAAAAAGGAATACCGATGATTGATAATCGACCAATGGATTTGGAGGGTATATGAGGCTATCATATTTCTGACCCAATTGGTTGATATACAACAAATGGTAGTACTGTAAATTCCAGCCATATAGCTGATGACTGGCGGACAAACTATCCATTAAAAAAGGTCGCTTGAACCGCTTGAATTTAGAATCTGAAGGAAACAACGGTAAAACGCTAGTCAAATATGACATAGTTCTGCAATGTTTTCCTTTAATCAATTCCAGGAATGTACACAACAACTGGTAGCTGGTTGTAACCCACGAAGAAATATGAACCAATTCGAAGCATGTGTCAAACATCATCCATCTTCGATGGTGAAACTGCTTCAAGCCACCAACCAGAACTACAAATCATACAGTATGTGTATTATTTAGTATTATAAGGATGATTATATATTAACAATGGGCTATCATCTTATATTATTAATATATTCTCATTTGAATTATTATATAATGTTATATAATGTTATATAATGTTATATAATGTTATATAATGTTATATAATGTTATATAATGTTATATAATGTTATATAATGTTATATAATGTTATCTAATGTTATATAATGTTATATACATATTATGCACACGTATACATCATAATTTGCTAGGTATGCTCCATCCCCATAGCCAACCCAAAATCCAAAAGCATTGCAGTCCATTTCCTCTTTTTGGGCAACAATCGCACCGCAGAGTGTCAGTTGCGCCCAT